GAGAAGATTTTCAAAGAATTCATGTATTTTCACTAATAATCAATATAGCCCCACCCTAACACCAGAATCCGTACTGGGGCCAGAAATTCACAATTTTTGTACATGCGGACCTTCTGATCATCATATTGATGACTCAGTTTATTTAATACCTAGAAGCAAAGAAGATTTTCAAAGAATTCATGTATTTTCACTATACAATCAATAGAGCCCCACCATAACACCAGAACCTCTGACCCTGGGGCCATAAAATTCACAACTTTGATAGAGGCACTTGCTCATCATAACTATGTACTTAGTTAGTCTATTTAATACCCAGGAGCAGAGGTGAAGATTTTCAAAGAATTCATGTATTTTCACTATATAATCAGATAGAGCCCCACATTAACACCAGAACCCCTGACCCTTGGGCCATAAAATTCACAATTTTGGTAGAGGCACCCTTGGTCATCATAACTATGCACTTAGTTTATCTAATACCTAGGAGCAGAGAAGAAGATTTTCAAAGAATACCTGAGTTATTCAGGTGACCTAAAAAGTTGGTGTTGCATTCCACCTTAAATGTCCTGGATAATTTATTAATTTTAGATGAAGCATAAGATTAACGGCTGCATTTCATTTCATTAATTTTTGGTAATTATGAACTTTTCATTTTCGACATTTTTTTAGTTTTCATTTCCGACATATTTTAGTTTTCATTTTCGACATTTTTTAGTTTTCATTTCCGACATTTTATCAAATACATATGTAGTACCTATAGTAACAGATTTGATATCTTTACGTAAGAAAAATTTGAAAGATTAATGAATAATTGAAATCCAACTTTGTAAATCTCAGTGACTTGTAAAAATCAGTGACTTGGACACAAGAATGGTTCTGTCACTGACATTTAATTAAGTGCAGATTAAATGTGTGGGAAAAGTTTTATGCATTACCTAGACTTAGTGCTACATGTATGCATATATGTATAGATGTTTTTTTTTTTCTAATTTTATTCATATTTTGGTATAAATACTTTTAAAATTCTATTTTTTCTTTTACTTAAAAAAATGTTGAATTGCCGCACAGGTAAATTCTGGAAATGAAAAAAAATTATGTCGAAATTTAATAAAAAAAATGTCGGAAATGATAAAAAAATGTCAGAAATGCTATGCATATTTCCGGAAATGAAATGCAGCGAGATTAATAGCAAAGACTTTAATTAGATGAAAAACAATTAACTTAAGCTTAACCAATATTGTGATCATATGACCATACCTATACTGGATAAGACAGGACCGAAAGCTCTGGCTAGAGCCCTAGAGATCTGAACACTCCCATCACCACCCCCTTCTGATCCGTGCCTCCAAATCCTGAGATCAGTGTTGTCAGACATGGAACAACTGTGGCTGAAGCTATATAAAAATGTAGTAATTTCAAATAATTTAATTCTGGTTGTAACGCTGTATTTCATTGTATAAAAAGTATTTATATTGTATAAAATGGGTTGCTTACGTCACAATGACGTACGTCAAAAACGTATTAATCCGCCTGACTTTACATTCAAATTTTGTACAAATTGAAGTCATTTTGTGGAACAATCTTCTTTTTTTCTTACATCAAATGAATAAAAAATTAAATTATAAGGAATGAATTTAATAGCTACCCATTTTATACGGTATAAACTGGGTTGGAACAGTTTAGCTTTTTTTATAAACTGCTTTGCGGTTTATAAAGCGTAAACTGCCCCATCCCAGTTTATACCGTATTATATGGGTAGCTATTAAATTCATTCCTAAATAATATCTCAATTTCCTAGTCCAAATCCAGGAATATTTCATATACGAGGGGTGATCAAAGAGTTCGCAAACTAATTGAATTACTTCCATAACAGAAAAAATATTCCTTTTCAGTGTTGATTATATTATAAATGAATCCCCTCCAATTTTAATGCACATCTGTCACCGCTCTGCGCATACGCGAATCATGTGATATAGGCGGTCACGTGACTCCCTCTGTAGTGTTCTGTCACAAAAGCTGAAAATTTTTTCTGAGTTTAGTATTTCTCTCCATGGATGTAAGTTAATTTTTATAACAAGATCAGTTTATTTGTCAGAAATGGAAAAAAAAACTTAACAACAGAATGGTGGATATAAGAATATCCTTTCCAAAAATAAGCATGGCAACCATCAAAACCCAAATTTTCTGTCTCGGAAGAGACGTTTATAAGGAATATTAATGAGTGCTTTCTTCTTTTACTAATATGTTTTAAATCTAAAGTAAACGATATCTTAGGTATTTCATACAAGCTGTAATTATATTATTGTTAAAATATTCAACTATTTTTAAAATTGTAAATTTGACTTCTTTGATAGGAAATTGCTTATATAAAAACAAACCTCCTTTTAAACTTGCTTTCACTGGGCAATAAAACGAGTATCATTTTTAACCATCTGCCTTCCTTCACTAAAACGATCTATCCAATCATTGATTAAATTTATAGGAAGTCATTTGTTTTAATAAACTGTGTACAAATTATTATACATTACTTTTAAGGGATTTGTAAGATATACAATAAATTTTACAGTCGTTTTTTTTTAAACGAGTACAACTGAGACAGCCATTTTTTTTCACAAGTGACATACATAATGACGTCATTTACACATTTTGACGTCACAAGCTAGGAGCAAAACTTTATTCAGCATATGCTATTTATAGAACTTGTGTATGGCTATGTGTGTACCAAATTGTTTTCCAATTTGAAATGTGATTTTGTAGATATAGAGATAGTTTGCGAATTTTTTGATCACCCCTCATAGATGGGAAGAATTTTCTACATAGCTCCTGATATTATAAAGCCACTATGTTGCTTTTATTTGTGCGTGCAAGTATATACCTGTTTATAGAGGATTCACTGATATATTCAATGAATATGAAGCAGAGAAAATTGAAAATTTTGAAGTTACAAACCAAAGGCAAATAATGTCAGTCCTATGTACATCATACTAGCTTTGTAGGCAAAAGCCATACACACGAAGGCTGGGATAAGCATCGTCATTCCCTGAAATTGCAAATATTAGTCTTAATTGCAGAGTAAAATTAAGAAATGCTTAAAAAATATATTTTTAGCATTATATCTTGCCATGCAACCAGTGCTTTCTTGATCCAAAATTACTGCAGAAATAGAGGCAGTTTCCCTTTGGAAATGTAGTACTCAATATTTTCTCTCCAAATTAAATTATGTAAAATATTGCTTATTTTCGTAGAATAAAAAAAGCTGCTTTCAAATTATGGATGGATAAAATTTATAAATCGGGTCTAAATTCTTACCAGGGTCGCTATCTTCACTTCTTTCCCTGCAGGTATCCTTCTAACATAACCACCTGTATTTTTATGAAAAAAACATATCAACTTATTGCTTTCAATAAATTCTGACAATTCCATGATTTTATTTTACTACTTGCTTCAAGGTTTATGAGGTACATAAAAACAATTAACACAACACAAACTCTTCAAAAAAATTGTATAGACAAATGAATTACCCTGCACTAAAGCAATTATGGTCCCCAAAAAGAATAACATCTTCCCTTGTTGCATACTGATGAAGATAAAACAGAAAGCTTAATCTTAAGAACAACTGATTTAAAACATTGTCCTGGTAACAAAAAATTACAGAAAATCCATTTTTTAATGCTAGTTGTGTTTATGATGAAAGAAAGAAGATGATCAATAAGAAACAAAGATCAAAGAAAATTATAAAAGATAGAGTCGATGATGATGATGATGCAGTGAGGAGGAGATGAAAATCTGATGAAGACTTGTTGATGAGTTACCTGTCGTAGTTGAGCCTGTTGTGAGTAAGGAAAGTGAGTGTGAACTCGAGTCCTGAGTACATCAGAAGATACAGAAAATACACAGCACCTATCTTCTGCATCGCACACACATCTGTCAAAAGAGAAACATACAAAAATCATGATATTACACATCTCAATTTCAGCAGATTTTTTGGAGAAATACTTTTTCTTATGACACATTTTGATATATTTCAAAGACATTTGGTAAGAGTGGTTATCATATTTCACATTTTTCAGTCATTAAAAAAGAGTTGTACGGTTAGATGACCTTTTATTCACCCCTTCCTGATTCCCAGATTCCTCCATTGTTTCCTGTGTATCGTCTGTGGTTACCTGGTTTCCTTGAGATTCCTGCTGACTTTCTTCTACTGCAGTCTGATTTCCTTCTGTTACCTCTGTACAAGTACTTTCCTTTGCTTCGTCTGTTGTTTCCTCTTTTACTTCCTCATTTTTTGCTGCTTTTTCCTCAGTTTCCTCTTTTGTTTCTTGAGTTTCTTCTGTAACCTCCTGACTTTCATCTGTTACTTCCTGAGTTTCCTCTGCCACTTCCTGACTTTCCTCTGTAATCTCCTGCTTTTCCTGTTTCCTCCTGCTTTTCTTCCACAACTTCCTGGTTTTTTTCCTGCTTTTTCTTCAGGTTCCTCGTTCACCTCCTGGAGTTCCTCTGTCACCTCCTGAGTTTCCTCTGTCACTTCCTGCGTTTCCTCTGTCACTTCATCTTTTTCCTCTGTTTCCTCCTGTCTCTCTTCTTCCACCTCTTGGTTTTTCTCTGTCACTTCCTGTGTTTCCTCTTCTGCTGTTTCCTGGTTTCCTTCCTCTTCATTTGTTTCTTCTACTTCCTGGTTGGCATCCTCAATTTGTTCGTCATCAGAGTAGAAACAGGTACTAAGTTCTACAACAGTTATTTATATTTAACAATGAATTTACATCGCAGAGAATTGGTGTACCTCATCAATTTTCTTTCAGCAAACTGAATTTGTATGTAAAGTTACTAAAAAAAATTAGCTTGGACCCCCTCCCCCTCTTTCGCTGTGCATCTTAAGAAAATTGACCTAAGATTGTCATATCCCATATAACACACACATGCACGCCAGAAATAAGTTCTGAACTTAAGATTTTTAAAGTATTTCTTTTTTACTAGCTTGTCACAAAATGTCCGTAAAAATTAGTTTTCATATTTATCAACCTATCCCCCCTCCCCATTCAAAGAGGTATGTCCAGTACACGATTTTTTTTCGATATTGTCGACATCGTTGTAAGAATACTAGGCCTCCTAATATCATAACATATTAAACATGACAGTAATACCTTTGTTTATATCTGTATATATTACATCGTTTACCAATATGATGTTAACATCTTGTTAACATTGCCTTCTTTTTATCTTGTTTACATCGTTCACATCGTCGACATCGCAATGTTGATCGATATCGAGTCGACATCGTGTCAACATTGCCTTCTATTTTTCTTGTTTACATCGTTAACACCGTCGACATTGCAATGTTGTTCGATATCGAGTCGACATCGTATCAACATTGCCTTCTTTTTATCTTTGTTTACATCGTTCACATCGTCGACATCGCAATGTTGGGCGATATCGAGTGGACATCGTGTCAACATTGCCTTCTATTTATCTTGTTTACATCATTAACACCGTCGACATTGCAATGTTGGTAGATATCGAGTGGACATCGTGTCAACATTGCCTTCTTTTTATCTTTTTTACATCGTTCACATCGTTGACATCGCAATGTTGGACGATATTGAGTCGACATCGTGTCAACATTGCCCTACTTATTTTTTCTTGTTTACATCGTTAACACCGTCGACATTGCAATGTTGGACGATATCGAGTCGACATCGTGTCAACATTGCCTTCTTTTTATCTTTGTTTACATCGTTCACATCGACGACATCGCAATGTTGGACGATATTGAGTCGACATCGTGTCAACATTGCCCTACTTATTTTTTCTTGTTTACATCGTTAACATCGTCGACAATGCAATGTTGGTCGATATCGAGTCGACATCGTGTCAACATTGCTTTCTTTTTATCTTGTTTACATCGTTCACATCGTCGACATCGCAATCTTGGGCGATATCGAGTCGACATCGTGTCAACATTGCCTTCTATTAATCTTGTTTACATCGTTAACACCGTTGACATTGCAATGTTGGTCGATATCAAGTCGACATCGTGTCAACATTGCCTTCTATTTATCTTGTTTACATCGTTAACATCGTCGACATCGCAATGTTGGTCGATATCGAGTCGACATTGTGTCAACATTGCCTTCTTTTTTCAAAATTTTATTTACATTGTTCACATCGTCGTTATCGCTTTGTTGGTCGGTAACTGAGTTGATGTTGTGTGAATATTGAATTCTTTTCATATGTTTTTCTTTATATACTTAGTAGTTGTGTTGGCCTTTATCGAGTCGTCAGCATGTCAAGATTGATTTACATTTTTTGCCTATTTATTGACAACGCATATAACGTATAAAATTAAGTTGACTTCATATTTTCTGTTTACGTTTTGCACATCATCACTAGGGCGATGTTTGACTCTGATGAGTCCACATCAAGTATGGAGTATGTCTCTTCCAATCTGAAAATGAACTACAAATTGATTTTATTTGAATACAAGTATACAGAAGGATGAAAGAAGTGAAAATTAAAGGAACGATTTTTGAATTTTATTGTTGTATATTACTTGTATTGTATAAAATTCATATGATTATATCAGTATGAAAGCAGTGGCATTATGGCTATTCAAGTGGTTTAACATGAAATCAGTGTACAATAATTATTCATTCGTGATCAGCTGCAGAGTTTTCATTTTTTTTTTGCACGGTGGTGCATTCTCGGTGTTAGAAAGAGCCTCCTCGTATTCCCTCATGTCTATTCCAACCTTGGAAAGAGTGTTTGTCATCTGTATGGTACTTTCTTGGGTGGGTTTTTTAATGAAAGTGAAAATAAGTCACCCTCCACCTTGTGGCTTTTCATGTTTTGTTTCGCCAAGTCCTTACTCGCACAAAGATTTCATTTCTTCTTTTACCTTTTCAGCAATATTTCTTGTGCTCCTTGTTATGGTATTGCATGGAACGGATGATCCTGGATAAAGAAGGATTATTTGGTTATGATGGGGTGTAATCTAATTTACTAGAAAATTTTATTTCTTTAAGTAATATTTTGTAATTGGAATTTTTATCTCTTAAATCAATGGTTGTTCAGAGGAAGACTCAATCAAACCAATTTTTTAATGTCATTGTATGAAGGGAGACGCCTCTCATGTGCGTGATACTAGTAATACATGTATCTAATATATCATCAGACGTAGTTATTTCCCCCTTTCATTTACATGACTGTGTAATAAAAACAGGATTTTTCTATGACCTTCAATTGATTGATTGATCATAGAAATCTTCGTATTTTTACAGTGACGTCACAATTGATCGACGTCATCAACCGTTTATAATGTTAAGTTTTTTTAATGAGTTTCTGGCTTCATGGGAGGTGTAAAAATTTTTTAAATGGAGCGTAATTTCGAAGAAAAATAATAAATAATGATCTTATATAGATATTTTTTCTCTTTGAAAATGTCTACATAAAATTTACTATGATAAGACTAATCGAATTAATGAAAACATTTGTAATAAACATTATAAATGTAAAAGTCTTGTGCTTATGTGCTTGAGGGGGTGGGGGAGGTATTGAAGCAACAGTATACGAATTATGGAAATATAAAACCATAAATATTCATGTTAAAGTATTTAGATAAAAAATTGATATTAATAATTAATTAATAAGTAATACCCCGGTAAATATTTTATGTACATGCATGTACTTACATTGATTTATTATAGACCTCATGTCGCAAAGTTTGGTAGCACTCTCAACTTCGGCAATGGCATTACGGCCAGCATCCATAGCTGCTGTTCTGTTTGTTCCAGTGAATCCGACCGTCGCAGAGTAAATTGAAGGTTGGGTCCAGTTTTGCCAGGGTCAAATTTCCGATTTGTTAAGGAAATGCGCGATGCCAGTAAGAAAAGGAGGAATTAAAAATGCCATCGGTATGCTGTTCGACACTGCAGTATTATGCAATATTTCATTTGTTAATTCGTCGAATGGATCATTATAATTGTTTCCTTGTAGCTATTTTGAATTCTGTCTCGATGCACAAATGCAGACATCCTTCCACTTCCTAAATTTGTTTTCATGCAATTACGTTAAAGTGTTTAGCTTTTAACGTCGTTGCTATCGTGATGGCGTGAATGTGACGTCAGAAATAAACTTTCTATAGAGACATAAATTGTGCGGGAAAATATTTAAATTAATTTGTTTTGTGTCAGTTGCGTTATCTATTGTGTATACTTTAATTATGGATTTGCATGACTTATTGAAACCAGTTAGAAAATACCGAGTCGCATGTATACGCATAATTAAATTACATTTTGTGCGAGACTAAACCTAAATATAAGAGTTGTGTGCGAGACTAACCTTAATTATTATAGAGTTGTGTGCGAGACTAACCCTAATTTTTATAAAGTTGTGTGCGAGATTAACCCTAATTATTATATAGTTGTGTGCGAGACTAACCCTAATTTGTATAAAGTTGTGTGCGAGATTAACCCTAATTATTATATAGTTGTCTGCGAGACTAACCCTAATTAGTAGAGTTGTGTGCGAGACTAACCCCAATTAGTAGAGTTGTGTGCGAGACTGACCCTAATTATTATAGAGTTGTGTGCGAGATTAACTCTAATTATCATAGAGTTGTGTGCGAGACTAACCCTAATTAGTAGAGTTATGTGCGAGACTGACCCTAATTATTATAGAGTTTTATGCGAGACTAACCCTAATTAATAGAGTTGTGTGCGAGACTAAACCTAATTAGTAGAGTTGTGTGCGAGACTGACCCCTATTATTATAGAGTTGTGTGCGAGACTAACCCTAATTAGTAGAGTGTGTGCGAGACTTAACCTAATTACTGGATTTGTGTGCGAGACTAACCCTAATTAATAGAGTTGTGTATTTGCATGTATAGAATGGGGCGCGAGACTAACCCTGTTTTGTATAGAGTGGG